AGTGTTAGGGTTACAGATGTGCACCACCACAGCTGGATCCAGACTCTTTGGGGTTAGGGTTACAGATGTGCACCACCACATCTGGATCCATATTCAGGTCCTCATGCACCTTATCTACTGAGCTACACCCTCACTGTTATATAAATACTCTTATGCTGTGTGCCCTGGGAAGGTGAGATGGAGTTATAAGAAAGGGAGTATTGCTCTCCGTGCTTGGCTTAGGTTCCGGTGACATGGCTAAACGCACCAAGAAGGTCGGGATCGTCAGGAAATATGGGACCCGCTATAGTGCCTCCCTCCGGAAAATGGTGAAGAAAATTGAAATCAGCCAGCACGCCAAGTACACGTGCTCCTTCTGTGGCAAGACCAAGATGAAGAGACGAGCCGTCGAAATCTGGCACTGTGGTTCCTGCATGAAAACAGTGGCTGGCAGGGCCTGGACCTACAACACGACTTCTGCCGTCGCAGTGAAGTCTGCCATCAGAAGACTGAAGGAGCTGAAAGACCAGTAGAAGTGCTACCGTTTGAAGTGTTATTCAGTAATGCACAGACAGCTAAATAAATAGGTTAATTTACGTAAAAAAAAGGGGGGAGTATTTTATGTGGGTGTTGTGAAAAAAAGATCTAGAGGATATGACATCCACAGCTGTACCATAAAGAAACAGTAGTTCCCCAAGTAGACAAGGGGGACAAAGGCATCTAAGAAGCAAGACCTGAGTATACAAATACATCCAGACAAGAAAAAGTAGGAAAACTTTCTGGCTGAACTAAAAGCACTATTTTTCTTGCATATTCATAATAAAGAATTCTAAGATGACCTTTTAGTGCAGAACATGATACTGAATATGAATGTAACTGTACTATTTAGTAGAATTCCATAGAGAAATGGATAATATGCTATTAACTCTAAAGAATATAAAATTAAAGCAGGGCAGTGGTAGCACATGCCTTTAATCTCAGCACTCAAGAGGCAGAGGCAGGAGGATCTCTGTGAGTTTGAGGCCATCCTGCTCTACAAAGCAAGTTCCAGAACAGCCAGAAAATCCTATCTTGAAAAATAAAAACAACACACACTCTCTCTCTCTCTCTCTCTCTCTCTCTCTCTCTCTCTCTGTGTGTGTGTGTGTGTGTGTGTAATTAAATAAAATAATAGCAGTCATGATGACTTCAGAAATGAAATTATTCCTATATGTCAAAACAGTAAGTAGTTTTCAGTGTCCTTGAGGGCATGTTTTATTCTGCAACACACAGTTGTAAAACAGATATGTGCTCACTTAGGCTGGTTCTGTTACAGCCACAACATTGTAGCAACCCTCGTAACTCAGATACAGTGTACTGCAGAAGAGGCTTACAGATAATAGAGGGCAAAGGAATATAGTGAAAATAGTCTTTGTCTTTCAGGGCAAAGGTCTTCCCTGCCCATTTACACCCAGGGAATTGTGTAAAGCAGGAAAGTGAGGGCAGCAGGAGATACAACTTTTTGTTTAGAGGCAGTTCTTCAGAATATTCATCACAGTTCATTTTGCTTTAAAGCTGATGTTTATGCAGTAGATGATCACATGATTCGTTGGAGGTTCCCACTGTGCAGTGTGACTGATCATCCAGTGATTTGCATTTCTTGTAGGTGCCGCTTATTCCCGTGCAGAGGACAGTCTCCGGAAGCTGGTGGAGCAGTGCAATTTGCCATTTTTGCCCACCCCTATGGGGAAGGGTGTTGTCCCTGACAATCATCCAAACTGTGTAGGTGCAGCCAGATCCAGGTGTGTGGCATTCCAGGCTGTTTGTTTCTTTTTTGATTGTTTGTTTTTAAGACAGGTTTTCTCTTTGTAGTCCTGGTTGTCCTGGAACTTACTCTGTAGACCAGGCTGGTCTCAAACTCAGAGAGACCCTCTTGCCTCTGTCTCCTGAGTGCTGGGATTAAAGGCGTGTGCTATCACTGCCTGGTAGTTGTTTGGACTCTTACCCAATTTCCACTTTTTTTCTATATCTGTAAAAATTCTTTAGTTGGAAACGCACTAGTATAATATCTGCCTTCTGCCACCTGCAGAGTGATGTGTTTACAGTACCGTTGGTAGAATCTTTGGAATTTTCACAAAGCAAAAGACCCAAATTTAGATGATGAAGTTACTGAAAATTTATGAAAGCACAACCTGGTCTCGATTATTTGCACATTAGGTGAAAATGCATATAGTATATTTTCTAAAGCAATTCCAGACTGAAGGTGTAGCTCAGTTGGGAGAGTACTTATCTAGCAGGCATGAAGCCCTGCATTGTGTAAGTTGGGCATGGTGGCACATGTCTTTAATCCCATCACCAAGGAGAATCTGCTCCTGGAAATCAGTGTGAAGAATGCATTGAGTTGCAAACATAGGGTCTGGGAGCTGGGGTGATTCACTAAGGTGCTTGACTAGCATGCTCGAGGTCCTGGTTTCAGCCTCAGAAACACCTACAAACCAAAAGCTATTCAGGCATAGTGGTGCATGCCTGTAGCCTCAGCATTTGAAGGCTGAGGGACAAGAACCACACGTTTGAGGCCAACTTTAGTTTAAAAAAGCAATATCCCATCTTCAAAACAAAACAAAATGACAGATTATGTTTTTCCATGTGTTGAGGGGTAGAGTGCATACATGCAGGTGTGGATGTCAAAGATTTCTTAGGTTTCTTCTCAGTCACATTTCCCCTTAGTTTTGAGACAGGGTCTCTAACTGAGCCTGAAACTTGCCAGTTTGACTAGGCGCCTGGCTTGCACCTGTCCCCACCCCCAGCGCTCAGGTGGGGACAGCACCATAGCAGTCACCCTTATGTGGGCGCCGAGGGTCCAGACCAGGCTCCCATGCTCGCACAGCAGGTATCTTCCCACTGAGCCGTCCTCCCAGTCTTTCAAAACTCAATTAGAAAGATCAGTTTACTCTAGAAGCTCCAAATTATCTAGACTTCGAAAATATTTTAGGAAAATCATTAGTTTGTTTGCTGTTGTTGTTAATTTTTTTTTAAAACAGGGCTTTGCAGTTTGCTGATGTGATTGTGTTATTTGGTGCGAGACTGAACTGGATATTACATTTTGGATTGCCTCCAAGATACCAGGCAGATGTGAAGTTTATTCAGGTACTGGGCATGGGGGCGGGAAAGACTCTGATAAGCTCTGTGCTTTTTTGTTCGCCCTCTTTTGTAAAGAACCTTTTCTCTTACAGAAATAGATTTTACAAATTATCTGATGTAATTACAGGTACCAAAGTCAGCTGCCTTTTCAAGCCTACAAAGCATCATGTGCTAATTTTAAGGAGAAAAGCTCTCAAAGTCGAGTCTGAAACAATTTGAAAAGCATAATTTGCCTCTTCCTTGCAGCTGGAGTGCATTTAAAGACAGAGAGGCTTAAGTAGGATGGTACTGGAGGGACCCCTCGGCCCTGTAAGGAGGTGAATTGTCCTTTTAGATGCCAAAACTGCCTCTGGAAACCTCTAGATGACTCTACCTTAAACTCACCTGCCCCTAAACTGAATGTCTGGAAAGTACTCCACCCTCTCCTGGTAACTCTACGTATGTGTTTCTGGTGCCCGCTGAGGTCAGCAGAGGGCACCACATACCAGGGAACTGAAGCCAGTGCTGGGACTCAAACTGAGGTCCTCTAGAAGAGCCGCCAGGGGTCTTAACTTCTGAGTCACCTCTCTGTTCTTCTTAAAGTTTTTTGTTGTTGTTTTTATTTGGCTGGGTTTTTTTGTTTTTTGTTTGTTTGTTTTTTGTAAACAATAGTTTCTCTGTTTAGTCCTGGCTGTCCTGGAACTCACTCTGTAGACCAGGCTGGCTTCAAGCTCAGGGTGCTGGGATTAAAGGCATGCACCCCACCACTGGCACAATAGGTTTTTAAGAGCTGGGTGCTCTTCCAGAGGTTCAGGGTTCAATTCCCAGCACTCACATGGCAGCCCACAACCATGTGTAATTCCGTTCAAGAGTATTTAATGCTCTCTTGTCTCTTCTTTGGGCACCAGGCACACATGTGATACAGACAGACATACAGACAAAACACTCATACACAGAAAATAAAAATAATTTCTCAGTTTGTTCAAAACAAAAAAGACCAAACATGGCTTGTTCTTCAGGTTTTTCTCTTTTTTAGATTGATATCTGTGCAGAAGAATTGGGGAATAATGTAAGGCCTTCCGTGACTTTGCTAGGAGACATAAATGCTGTTTCTAAGCAGGTAATTCCTTTCTCTGGATTTTAATTCCTGTAGACTGTTCTCTGTGGACAGTTATTCTTGATAATGTTAGTCTTGTTTGGCTTGGTGACAAGTTCATGATGGGAAACTAGCTTTAACTGTAAGTTTGGAACTTGGTAAAGTCAACTCATTGTACACTGCTCATATTTGTGGAAGTTAAGCGTTTAGACAACTAATTTGATGTCATGAAAATTTAAGGTTATTCAAACCAAAATTCAGTAGGTAGAATTCGGCTTTCTGAGAAAATTACAATACAGCGTTAGTTTAACTTGACTTACACAGTGGAAATATAACAGTATATTTTTAGGTAGTAAAGGAATTTTTACTCTTTAAACTATAATCAAGGACTTGTCTGACTTCCTATTTATATGTAATCTATGCATTTCATTGTGACCGGAGGTAAAATATGGTCACATTTATCACTCGATTTTGTACAATATTCGTTATCTTGAGTACACAGCATTTGAGATGCAGATGCAGTCCATGTCACATGTGCAGTCATTCTGCAGCATTTGGTCTGTGCGTGTGGCTCACCACTGGTCTGCCATCAGTTGCTCTTCAGGAAGAGAAGCAAGTGTGAGCAATGTGAAGGGCAGAGCAGTTTGCCATTGCCTACTTTAAGGAAGTTTATGTGTGTGTTTGTTTGTTTGTTTGTTTATTTTTAGCTTTTGGAACAGTTTGATAAAACCCCATGGCAGTACCCCATAGACAGCAAATGGTGGGAGACTCTGAGGGGAAAAATGAGGACCAATGAAGCTGCATCCAAGGTAATGTGGGACCAGTTGTGTTTCAAGATCCCTTCAGGTTGATGAGTTGCTTTGGCCTCTCATAAGGGGGCATAGACAGTCCTAGGAAGTACTGCATTGTGTAAGCTTGGGGATCAAAAATGGTGCTGCTGGGGCACAGCTCTCAAAAGGTCCACAAACCAGAAAGTCAGATAAGAACCTAATAGAAAATGGTAGTGAAGCCTGGCATGGCAACGCACGTCTTTAATCCCAGCACTGGGGAGGCAGAGGCAGGCTGATCTCAGAGTTCATAGCCAGCCTGGTCTATAGAGAAACCCTGTGTGTGTGTGGGGGGTGGTGGATAGTAAAGTTTCAACCATGTAAATAGTTAAGAAAAAGCGTATGCAGCCCATGTGCTTGCTTTTGCTTTACCTTGAAAGGGCCTTAAGCTCCTTGCATAATTGAGCATCCAAAGGATATGGTTCTTGAGTCACTGTGAGCTGGTGGAAGGAAAGCAATCTGACCCTGGAAAGCTGTCAGTTAGATTACATAATAGCATAATGAAATCCTATGACATTTAAGGATTGATGCAAGAATGTCCCTTAAGTCCTAAGGGTGTGTTAGGACTTGGCTATCTGCCCTTAAGATATTTTTCCTTCAAGGCACATGAGTGTTCAGTCCACCCCTTCCACACACTGCCATTTAGCTTTCATGTCACTGCTGGAAACTCTTGTGGCTTTCACATCTGCCCTTGTGGCTTTGCCTCATAGTGAGGGTTTGGAGATTCTCTTGAATTTTGAGGTCACCACTAATCCTTCCCAGTGAGTACTACAGTGAGTCTCTTCAGCAGTGTTGCTCTTTTCTATTCAAAGTGATTGTAAATACAGCACTTTCTCTTTGATTGTCAGATGGGGTGGTAGGTTTTCTTTTACTGTTTTGTGTATTCGGGTGTGTCTTGGTTCAGCTGGGTGCAGTGTTCAGTATACATTAGGGTTTCTTCTTTTTAAGTTATTGATTTCATTTCGTGTGAGCTTGTATGTATGTGCGCCATTTGTGTCTAGAACCCTTGGAGGTGAGATGGAACTGGTTATGGATAGTTGTGAACTACCGTGCATGTACAGGGAACCCAACCTGGGTCCTACATAAGAGCAACAAATGCCCTTGACCACTGAGCAGTCTCTCCAGCCCGCCCTAGGATTTCCTCCTGATAGAATGATACATTTACAAATCTGCAATTCGAGTTAGGCACTTGTGTTTCCTAATTTATCTGTCATCATAGAGTAAGTTTGTACTTTGAAACAAACGTCCTAGCAGAACTGATGAGGCTGAGTCCACTGTGCAGGGGAATCTTAGTCAGTGACTGTTTCTACTGCCAAGAACCAGTCTCAGTTCTAGTTTCTCCGCTGTTGTTAGTAATGCGTCTTTCCCTAGGAGCCCCTTAGGGTTTGCTCCTTTGTTAGCGCTAGGGGTGTGGGGCGTCTTTCCTGCATGGGGAATGTAACCTCCAGCAGAGCAGGCTAGCACTGGTGATGCTGGAGTGCTGGGACAGGACGGTTAACTGATGAAATACCAGTGGCTCCTCTCAGCACTCGTGGCCGTGAGGCTGTTTGAAGACCTTGCTACAGCTCTGTCAATCAGGGACTTTTTAAAGAGTAGATATAATAGCTTCTCTACACTGTGTGAGAGAAGAACCAGATTTTCAGATCATCTGCTGTAATCCTAACGTTTTAGTGTTAAATTTAGGACCATACTTCAGATAAAACTGTTCTGAAAAATAGTTAAGACAGTGTTTTTCTAAGAGTGCACAGGTATGACCATTCTGTTTGCTTAACCCAGTGTTGCTCAGCCATCTTTACTATAAGACTTCTCCAGGTGTTTAATAGGTAAGGTTCATCCACTCACCAGGTCGTGGGGATTCCCCAGCTTATGTATTGTGTCCCAAACAGGGACTGTAGGGCACATTGTTCTTAGCATGGTTCTGGATTGTTCACAGTTCAAAGAATAGCCAGTGGTCAGTCATTTGGGAATCTTGTAGCTGACTGGTGGTATTGAACTGTTCCAAAATGACTTTGGTAATAGCTTACTGACACTGTTGTTATCATTATGTCCCAATGTAATTTAGTGTATACCTAACTCTGTTTTTAGGAATTAGCTTCCAAAAGATCCCTCCCTATGAATTATTACACAGTATTCTACCATGTTCAAGAACAGTTACCCAGAGACTGTTTTATAGTAAGTGAGGGAGCTAATACTATGGACATTGGCCGTACTGTGCTTCAGAACTACCTTCCTCGCCACAGGTAAGACTCCAAGAAAATAATGACAATGTGTTTAATCTGAAACCACAGTAATACTGATTAAGAAAAATATTTTAGAATTGTACATGCCAGGACCAGGCTGGCCTTGAACTCAAGAGAGATCCACCTGCCTCTGCCTCCTGAGTGCTGGGATTAAAGGCGTGCGCCTCTACTGCTCAGCTCAAGTGTACTCTCAGGTGAGATTTTATAGTTTTATTGTTTTTGTGGTTCATAAATCTTGATATAATGTGATGGTTTGTCTACTCAGTTTCTTTGTTTTGTTTTGTCTTTTTTTTTTTTTTTCCGAGACAGGATTTCTCTGTGGCTTTGGAGCCTGTCCTGGAACTCACTCTGTAGATCAGGCTGGTCTTGAACTCACAGAGATCCGCCTGCCTCTACCTCCCGAGTGCTGGGATTAAAGGCGTGCACCACCACCGCCCGGCCCATGTACTCAGTTTTTTACATTCATCCAAGCAATCATGCGTGGAATTTTCCTTTCATGCCACTTATCCTTGACAAGTTGCTTCCTTATATTCCAAAAATTTAATATTAAAGAAAAAATGCCTATTTCTTAACTTTTTCCATAAACCATATAAATATAGATTGAAAGGTTTGTGCCACCTCCACCCTACATGACATGTGCAAGAGAGTTTGATTTTAGCTTTGTTCTCAACAGGCTTGATGCTGGCACCTTTGGAACAATGGGAGTCGGTTTGGGATTTGCTATTGCAGCTGCTCTAGTGGCTAAAGATAGAAGTCCCAGGCAGCGGGTCATCTGTGTGGAAGGTGACAGTGCCTTTGGGTTTTCTGGCATGGAAGTAGAAACCATCTGCAGGTAAACAGAGCCCTAAATCATAGCATTTCATTCTCATAATATGAAAACATACAATACTCATTTGCTTCACAACAGGAGTCATGGACAGCATTGTGCTTTGAGGTTCCTAGTTATAAATTTCATGTAGAAACTCCCATTGCATCAGCATGGGAACTCTCCCGACCTCTTACCCCAGCTGTATTCAAACTATAATAAGACTGTTCTACTAGGGTAGTAGTTTTTTTGTGAAACATGTTTTGGGACTTTCAGTACTTTGGTATAAAAAACTATCAAGATCAAACCAGGTTTGGCAATGCACTCCACTAATCCCAGCATTTGGGAATAGAGGTGACAGTGTAAGCAGAAGGGTCTGGAGGTCAAGGTTATCCTCCGCTGCATAGTTAGTTCAGGGTCAGCCTGGGCTGCAGGACTGGCTTTTCCTTTCACGCTGCTGATTCTATAAGCTATAAAATCTCACCCAAGAGTACACTTGAGATAGGCGGTGGTGGCGTGCGCCTTTAATCCCAGCACTCAGGAGACAGAGGCAGGTGGATCTCTCTTGAGTTTGAGGCCAGCCTGGTCTACAGAGTGAGTTCCAGGACAACTAGGGCTATACAGAGAAACCCTTTCTCAAAAAGACAAAACAAAACAAAAAACAGAAAAAAAACCTAAAAATAACAACAAAACAAAGAAAAAAGAATATACTTCTGTGGGGCTGGAGATGGCTCAGAGATTAGGAGCACTTGTTGCTCTCACAGAAGTTCTAAATTTGATTCCTAATACCCACACAGAGGCTTACAACTGTCTGTAACTCCAGTTCCAGGGGACTCAAAAGCCCTCTTCTGACCTCTGACCTCTGAGGGCACCAGGCAGGCACATATATATCTATATATCTCTATCTATCTCTATCTATCTATCTATCTATCTATCCATCCATCCATCTATCTATGTGTGTGTGTGTGTGTAAGCAAAATACACACATAAACTAAATAAATCTAAAGAAAATTTTAAAATACACTAATGAAAAATGTTATTATACACTAGACATGTTCAATTCTCAAATGTTTTTCATAATCAGAATTATTGCGGTTTAGGGGAAAGGTTGGCCTATTAGAGGTCTATACTGAAAATTGACATATGCCAAAAAGGTGATGTATGAAAAGAATCTAGCCTTTTGAGGGTGGTAATTCCTTTCCAGCGCAGAGAGCAAGTGGCTTCCACAGTCATGTTACTTAGTTGTGTCATTACCATAAGCCTTCAGGGAAAAATATAATGAAGCATTAATCTAACTAATTTTAATCAATAAAAAACTGGGAGTCAAATATTAGGGTAAGAACCTGAAAAATCAGAGAACAGGGAGCAACTGCCGGTTGCTTTCTACCTCTTCAGTTCCTCTGTCCGAAAGGGCCGAGATCTGCTCTCTGCCCCACCTTACGACTTCCTGTCTCCTCTCTCCACAATCCTCCAAACCTTTGTGGTACATTTTGGTCAGATAGTGGCTGACCCTGCCCTCTGGTGCCAAGCAAACTGTATTTGTCAGAACACAATCAAAATATCATACAGCAATCTATAAAAGCAAACCCACATTCTTTTTTAGTATTTTTAGGCTTTTCATCTTTCTGCACTGTTTGAGACATTTGGACGCCTGTCTTCTGTACTGATCTCGCCATGCTGGCTTTCATTAGAAACGCAGAGTGGGTGTTAGTTGCCGGTGTGTCTTTCACAACATCCAGCATGAGCCGGTTGCCATTGACACTTTCAACAATATAATGGGACTTTTCAGACAGTGTTCCTAGAACCATGTAGAAATATGCCTAGGAAGGGAGGGAATGGAGAAGGTGTTTTTCTTGTAGCTGCCTGGAAAAGTTTAGTTATTTAAGATCCATAGCTAAGCAGACTGTCAGCCTTGAGTACATCCTACAGCTGCAACGTTTCTATCAATGGTTTTATATTTTTTTATTAGGATAACTAATGCTTGGTTTTCCCTATTGAAAAAGAATTTATTGAAATTGTCTACTTTTAAGTAAAAATTTCAGTTTTAAGAAAAAGAAATTGCTTTAGAAAGAATGATCTCTTAATAGTTTACTTTCACTTTTAGGTACAACTTGCCAATTATAATCTTGGTAGTAAACAATAATGGAATCTACCAAGGTGTTGATGCAGACACTTGGGGAAAAATGTCAAATTTTCAAGAAGCTGCTGCAGTGTGAGTAACTCACAACAAATGCACAGTTAGGTTGTGTCATGTGTTTTAAAAGTTTGCTGTATTGGAATATGCCTACATACTATAAACTTGGTTAGTTTGTCAGCCTTTTTAAAGTGGCAGAAGCTACTTCTTCTTGGATCTTTTCTGTACAACTGTCTTTGTTTACAATCAGGGACACTGAGGACTCAGGTCAAGATTTGTGATGTCTACCGTAGGGTAATAGCAGTGCTGGTGTTTACGCCAGGGAGAACTGTTAATGCCGTATTAGTCAAGGTTCTCTCAAGGAACAGAGCTCATGAATGTAGATGTGAATCTGCATATATGAAAAGGGAATGTATTAGAGTGCTTCACAGACTGTGGTCTGGCCACTCAACCATAGCTGCTTTCCGGTGGATGGCCAAGAGTCCAGTAGCTGTTTAGTCCACGAATCTGATGTTTTAGCTTATCTGTATTATTCACTGGAACCCTGAGAAAGTAGTCTCTAACACCAGTAAAGGAACACCTGGCAGCAGAATAGAGGAACATGCCACCAAGGCTGAGGGCAAGTGAACAAAAAGCAAGCTTCCTTCTTCCATGTCCTTTCATCTGGACTGCCATGAGGTGTGGCTTGGGTGTAGAGTGGGTCTTCTGACCTTAAATGATCCAGTCAAGAAAAATCCCACAGGCATGCCCAGATGCTTGGGTTTTAGTCTATGTAGTCAAGCTGACAGCCAAGGTTAGCCATCACAAATAGTTGGCATACTATTTGTGATTTAAAGATCTTCCTTACGTTTACCACAAAGCTAAGCCTTTACCATCTGATGGCAAAGTCAAGCTAAGACTGTCAGAACTGCCGTGGACATTGACAAAGCTTTCTGAGACGTTCTGAGTAGAGTGCCAGTGTTTTCAGCACACTGTTGTTTTTCCATAGCCATTTGTACTAGTTACTTTTCATTTGCTGTGATAAAATACAACCTAAGCAAAAAGTATTTTTAAAAAAGTTTAATTAGGCTTATAGTTTTAGAGGGTTAAGTTAATGATGGTGGAGTGGAGGCCTGGCCCTGGAGCAGCAGCTGAGAACTCACATCTTGATCCACAAGCAGGAGACAGAGAACACATTGGGAATAACATAGTCTTTTGAAACCTCAGAGCCTATCCCCAGGGACACACCTCCTCGAATAAGGCCACACCTCATAATCCTTCCCAAATAGTTCCACTAACTGGGGACCACATATTCAAATGTAGGGACCTGTGGGGGCCATTCTCATTCAAACCACCATGCCTTGACTTTTAGCTTCATTCTAGTTGATAATATAGACTGTGCTATCTGGCGAAGAAGCTCTGAATCACATGTTACTACGTAAACTTAGTTAAAAATAAATAAAGTGAAAAGTTTAGTTTCTAGGCTTCAGTTGGTAGAATACTTGCTTCTTATTCACAAAGCCCTAAGTTTGATCCCCAGCATTTCATACCAGTTGGGTATGCTGGAGCATACCTATCAATCAGAAGGTAGATACAAGAAGATCAGCAGTTCAAGGACATCCTTGACTATATAGCAAGTCTAGGCCAGTTTGAGTTACATAAAACCCTGTCTCATTAAAAGAAAAAATCAGTACCTTTTCCCCTTTGACTGAGAAGTTGTTGACAGTAGGTAAAACCTCTCTGGCTTCCTTGGGCACTGCACACATGTGGTAGGTACATAGATGTACATGCCAGCAAAACACCCATTCATATAAAATAAAAATATTTTGTTGCTTGGCATGGTGGCACACACAACAAGCCTAGCATTTGACAAGCAGCGGCAGGCAGATCACTGAGTTTGAGATCAGGCCTGCCTGGTCAGCAAAGTGAGTTCTGGGGCATCCAGAACTACACAGAGAAACCCTGTCTCAAAAATAAATAAATAAATAAATAAATAAATAAGTCTTAAAAATTCAATTTCTCAGTTTAGTTACATTTCAATTACCCATAGTAACAGGCAGTGATGTGACCACCATACTGTATGTAAAACATTTTTATCATTATAGAAAGTTCTACAGGACATTGCTATATAAACAATAAAAAGTACAGGGAGCCAGGTGTAGTGACGCACACTTGTCGTTCACTAGTCTGGAGACGGGAAGAGGAGATCATTGAGCTGATGAGCCCAAGACATATCAAGACTCCGTCATCCACAAAAAAGACTCAGTGGAAAATAAGGGAAAACTGTAATTCAAGCCCTTGGGAGGCTGACGCAAGAGGATTTAGAGTGAGGTTACCAGCATGGGCTACATACTGAGTTCTAGACCAGACTCTACCGCACAGCAAGGTCCTGTCTCAAAACAAGCAAAAACAAAGAGGAAGTTGCAGTTTCCTGTACTGACATCTCAGCCTCTGTACCATGCCCTCTGCTGGTTCTGTGCGGTGAACAGACAGCTGTACCAGAGGACAAGCAACATGGGCCAGACTGCTCTGCTCTGTAACATTGCCAGTTAGCACCCTGATACCTACATGACCACACACATCACAGCCTGCACCAGGTGACTTTGTACATGCTTTGGGAAATGCATATTTACCTGAATCACATTGAACTATTGAGAATTCAGTATCAACAAGAACCAAGGATGAAAATCTTCAAAAAGTTGAGATAGTTGATGGCTTCAAAGTTGAAGACATCAGATTGAAGGGTATGTTCCACCCAACAATTAGAGTGCAGGGGACAGTTTAAAGTGCTGTCAGAGGGATTGCTGGGTATCGTCCTTAGGCTTGGATCCAATGCTTAACTGATTGCTTTTTGTTTTTGTTTAGGTTGTTGTTTTTGTTGTTGTTGTTTTGCTCTAAAGGGAAAATGAACTAGGCTTAAAAAAAATCCATCAGAGAATTAAAAAGGGATGAGGAGCCAAGCATGGTGACACACACCTTTAATCCCAGTACTCAGGAGGCAGCAATGGTCAGGTCTCTGAGAGTTCAAGACAGTCTGGTTTAGGCAAATTCTAGGCCAATCAAGGTTATATAGATTCTGTCTCAAAAGCAAATGAACAAAGGAGATTTAAAAAAAAAAAAACAAAACCTAACCCAAAATCCTACAACAGCCAGCCAGTAGCCTACCAGTTATGGTTGCATTAAATTTTAAGGATGCCGCCACTGGTAGAAAAAGCTACAGGTTCTTCTAGCAATGAAGGCCTGGAGTTTGGCTAGCTCACCAAGGGGGCATGGGAATATGAGATGGAATAAAGGAAGGATAAGGGATCACATGTGTTCTGTATATTGCTGTTATCGAGAGCTGTTCTGGAAAAAAGTATGCCCTGTGGGTCAGCTTATGTTTTTCACAGATAATTTGGGGACATTACTTTTTCTAGAAGCTGAAAGATTTAAATTTTATTGACTTACAACTTGCTTTTCAGCATCCCTCCGATGTGTCTCTTGCCAAACTCGCATTATGAGCAGGTCATGACTGCATTTGGAGGCAAAGGGTATTTTGTACAAACACCAGAAGAACTCCAAAACTCCCTGAGGCAGGCACTGGAAGACACAAGCAAGCCCTGTCTTATCAACATCATGATTGAACCACAGAGCACACGGAAGGCCCAGGCAAGTTCAGCTACTGAGCAGAAAGGAAGAAACACAAGCTTTCTCCTGATTCCTCCCTGAGAGGCATACTCTCAGGGATTTAGAAGTCCTTTTAAGTTTCTTTCTGAATTTGGAAGTTTCATTTGCTTGTTCAACAAGTAGTTGTTGAGATATTGTTATGTGTGCTTGTTGGAGTAACAAGTAAGCAAAACATGACAGAGCAAGGACATGACTGGAAGGAATCGACTTGCTGTTCTAAGCAAGTCTAAGTGAAGAAATACATTGGTGCTACAGGCAAAGCTCATTGGCGGTAGCGCTTAAACTGAGATCAGAATGAGTTAGCAGAGGAGATGGAAAGGCAGAGGCTCTATGTCAAGAGGAGCAGGCTCAGATAGAGGATCTGAAAGAAAAGTGAGCACAGCGTAGATGAGCCTGTAATCATGGATCTGCGCGGTTGCCTTCTGCTCAGTTATGTGACCTCTGGTGCATAGTGACGCATAGCTAGTGTCCCTCTCTTGGTTCTCAGACAAAGATCTGCTGCCAGTCTCTTTCTTCTTTGCTTAAGATGGGGCACAAATGGTCAGATACCTGAACAATCAATAAATACACAGCAACTAGCTTGGAAACTGTCAGATATATAGAATTCTGCTGAAATTCTATTTGTGTGAAAATAGACATCAGAGACTTGAGAATTTACCTTTGAGCTGAGAGAAAGGATTTCAAGAACAGAGCCTGCTGACTAGGCAGATGAACACACCTAGGTTAGCTGGGGAAGCAGGCAGGTGGCATTGGCAGGAATCTTTCTAATTCTTTTAAGGATCTGCTTTAAATCTATTCTGCAATTTTCTTCTGAACATCATTTGGGTATTTCTGAAGAAGTATAAATTATCATCCACATTAGTAATTCTGTAGGATTATCCTTGTATTAAACGCTTTAATATAGTTTTAACCATCATTCCGGTGAAATCCTGACATAGTTTCATTTCCAAGCTCTTCTCTTTTAGTTGAATGTTTGTCTTTCACCATTTGCCATTGACTCACAATGCAGGCTGGCTGCTTCCTGCTTTGTTGAGGAATCTCTCTCTGTGGCAGTGGTTCTCGACCTTCCTAATGTTGCGACCCTTTAATCCAGTTTCTCACATTGTGCTGACCCCCAACCATGCATTTTTTTATTGCTACTTCATAACTGTAATTTTGCTACTGATATGTATCATAATGTAAATTTTTTTGGAGGAAGAGGTTTGCCAAAGGACAACTAACTGCTCTATGGTAACCTGTGTCTTGGCCAAGTGGGGAGGACACTGCCAAACGCTCCATAGTTCTTCCTGTTTGTGCATCTCAGGCCTGAGATCGTGGTCTTGCCCCTTCTCTGCCAAGTAAATGTCTGTTTCTTTCTAACTCTGCTTTTCTGTGTTCTGATCATGGATAGTGGAAGAAGATTCAGAAAAAGTAAGTTTCCTAGACTGCTTTGTGTAAGCCAGCTTGTTTCACTAATTAATTTTTAGCTCCTTTTAACTAGACCAAATACAAACCTTATTTTACCATGATTGTCTAGTTCTACGTCGTAAAGCAATTACAGGTATTTCTTCTGACTGAATGTTGTCCTTTTTTGTCTTCCTTTAGGACTTTCACTGGCTGACCCGTTCTAATATGTGAATAAACTAGTTGATGGTTTTGAGGAACTTTCTCTTTCCAGCAAGGTAGAATTTACTTTCCATAGCAAAAACATTTAAAATTATGTTTTATTAAAGAAATTGATTAAAAACAGAAAAGGCTTCCATTATTTGTTATGATTTTGGATCTTACGCGGTCCCGAAGGCTTATATGCTAAAGACTTGGTGAGCAGCTCGTGGCACTGCTGGAGGATGGTCGAGCCTTCAGGACATGGGGAGTGGAAAGAGGTCACTGAAGATTAGGACTCGGGCGTCATGCCACCGTAAGCAAGTCCTCTCATGACTTCCCTGTCGTGTTGGACCCCAGGTCCAAAAGCAAAAGAGCCAACTGACCACAGACCGAACCTTTCCAGCTGAGCCAGGAGCTGGGGACAACTCAGCACTTAAGAGTACAAACCACTCTTGCAGTAGAAGTGAGTTCGGCTCCCAGCCACATTGGGCAGCTCACATTCCCCTGTAATTTCTATTCCTGGGACTTCAGCTTCTGTGGGCACCTACACTCATGCACACATTCACACATGGATCCACATGTACGCATGGTTAAAAATAAAGCTTAAAAAACTATGAATCAAAATCGATATTTCTTCTTTTTATAAAATGGATTTTCTCAAGTATTTTTATTAAGGAATGGAAATTGACTAACAGTATTCTACCACTAAATAATTAAATAACAGCATTTTAAGTGTCTAACAGCCAAGTTACTCATCGGCTTCCTTTTATGTAAACCCATTCCCAAATTAAAACTTTACCTTTTAAAAACTCCTTCTGACCAAACAATGGTGGCACACGCCTTTAATCCCAGCACTAGGAGGCAGAGACAGGCTAATCTCTGTGAGTTCGAGGTCATCCTGGTCTACAGAGTGAGTTCCAGGATAACCAGGGCTATTACATAGATAAACCCTGTCATGAAAAAACAATAATAACAAAAGAAAAACAAAAGCAAACAAAAACTCCAAAGTGTTGTGGAGAAAGAAATGAAAGCTTCAAAAGTGATGTATATAGAGACACTTTGCGTAAAGTTGTTGTGTGTCAGTGTGTTTAGTTTGTATTTTACTGTTGATTACTTGTTTTTTGTCTCAGGTGTAGTAGAGCTTGTCCTGTTGTTGGTGAGTCGAATGTTTCTCTTGGAAAGAACTTATTGAAGCAGAGAAGTCACACCACCTCCAAACTAACCACTGTATATTAGCTACCTTGTGTGTTCACACTGCACTGAGACCAGCAGAATTATCCATGATATATAGTTCTGTGCTGTTTAAGGGCATTTTGCTTGTTGTCAGATAGCAGTGCCTTAAGATTATAAGGGAGCTGAAAAATTCCTCTTATCAGCCTGGGTTACATTGAGAGCTCAAGGCGAGCCTGAACTTACATATGGAAAGACAGTCACAGAAAACCAGGTCTGGAGATGTGACAAGTAGAGCACTTTCTTAGAATATACAAAGCCCTGAATTTAACCATCAGCATGGCCAAGAAATAATAGATAAATAAGCAGAAAAAAATGGGGCAAACGGTTCAGACTGTAAAACCACTTGCCTTGCAAGTCTCAGGACCAGAGTGATCTCTAGAACCTAGACAGTGTCGAAGGAGAGACTGAATTCTACAAAGTTTTCCTCTGACCTTTACACATTAGCTGTGGCACACACACCTGCGTATATGCCTTGTATCCACCCACACAATAATAATGATTTTTAAAATAAGGAATTGTGCAAAGTAAGTCAACACTTCCAAACCTGTGTTTATACAAAAAAGGGGAAAGAAGACAAGCAACATAGTTTAGAATTTCAGGATTTTAACATATGTTTCTCAGAGGTTTTTTTGTTATTGTTTTGGTGTTTTGGTTTGTTTTTGAGATATAGTTTCTCTGTGTATCCTTAGCTGTTCTGGAACTCAGAGTTCTGCCTGCCTGTGCCTCCCAAAATGCTGGGATTAAAGGCGTGCAACACCACTGCCTGGTTGTGTTTCACAGTTTTAGTACTACTTAGTGATAAAAATAGTTTCATATCTGTAATGGTAAAAGTAAAATGCTACAGGATCCCGAGTGGCAGGCCATGAGACTGAGCAGGGGCAGGCCCCAAAGCAACCAGTCCCAGGCAGGGACGATGCACAAGACCACATTGTTGGTCTCAGAAGGTGGCTGGTCCCGGACAGGGAGCCTTGAGGCAGGCAAGAGATAGCCAGATAGGCACGCCATGCATAGTGAGGTTGGATATTTATTTAGTGGGCTATAGAGGGGAAAGGGGAGAAGAGCAGAGAGGCAGAGAGAGAAGGGAGAGACAGAAGCTGCCACTTAGGGAGCTGGAAAAGGAAGAGAGTCAGGCTGCAAACAGGAAGGAAGATCTGCCTGGGGGTGGGGTGGGGGGAGTGGACAGGGCTTGTCTCTTAAAAGGTCAGGACAGATCATTACAATATCATTTTTGTCTTTTAGAATATGTTGAAAGTGGTTTTGCAGTTGCTAGGAATACATTCTACCACTTCAGCTATTTCTCCAGCTGAAAAGTAAGCACTTTTTTAAAAATCAGAAGCTGTGTTTTAACATATTAGAAATGGGGGCGGGGGTGGTGGCTCAGAGCTTGCTGCTCTTGCAGAGGTCCTAGGTTTAGTCCCAGCACTCATGTGGAGACTCACAACTGCCATAACTCCAGTTCCAGGGGATTCAATACCTTTCCCTTGCCTCTCAGAAACCAGTCATGAATATTATACTCACAGATAAATGCAGGCACTCACGTCAAATTTAAAAAATGAATAGATAGAAGTAAGATATTAGAGATGGGTATACCTGTTATTTTTGCAATTTTTTGTGGATCAAAACGCAAGACTTTATATCAATATTCAGCTTAATACTTAAACCAGATCTGTCTGCTTTGGCTAAGTTGGAGCTCAAAAGACCACCTCAGAGTGAGGAATTTCTAGCTTTAGAGAGAACCCAGGAGATATTTGCAGTGAGCATTGTATGACTCCTGACAGGCCCCTGCTCCAGCCTGAGCTGTATAGGAGAGAACATACAGAGGAGTTTGGCCTGGGTAGCCCACATAACTTCATCAGTCTCCTCTGCCCACAAGTGCCTGCCTGACAGCCAAGTGTAATGCAATGTTTTGATACAAGATGATGTGGAGGACTTACTATTTTTAAGTTAAAACCATATAAATCCATATAATTAAGGGTAAATGTCCCATTTTCTGACCATGTTATCTCAAGTAGAAGAAAACAAAATGTTGGCTGATTAATGGTCTGGCCAGCAGAGGTCAGTCCTGATGTATAAGACCAGATTAACCCACTTTAACTGATCATCTGCCCCTGGCTTATTTTGTACAACAACCTTGTAGTTAGTTTTATCATAGGAGTTACCTCTTAAAAGGATAAAATATTGAGAAATTCTCTCTAGTTGTCTGCACCTGTAAGAACTCAGGGCAGGACAGGAGAATCTAAAGTTTGAGGTTAACTGAACTACATAGGAACCCAGGTTGGCTTTGAACTCATAATCCTTCTGCCACCACCTCCCAAGTGTGGGGTAGTTTTGAAGAGGGACTGTTGGAAAACACTGCATCACCGTGAGGAAGTGCCTGACATAATCGCAGACTTGGATACAGGAGAGCATCATGTGGCTGTATTAGGAAGGCTGGAAACTAGTGAGATTCCACCGAAGGGTTTGTCAGAAAGCCTGAACAGCCTGCCTCGACTGCTGTGGGGAGTACAGCATGCGGTGAACGCTGAACCTCCTGCTGTTATGGGTGTATCATTTGCTGCTGCGAAGCTAAAACTGAGTTGTGTGCAAGAAAGCAACTGATGGCCTTCCACGGTCTACCCGTAGAGTCACGGTAAAAGACCGTGGATTCAGCTCTCACAGGCACAACTGCCTCTGCCTGAGGTTTCCATTGGACAGTCTTCCATACTGCCTCCTCGTCAAGGTCTTTCTGTCCAGGAAAAGGGATAGCTGGTCAACAAATGCACAACAAATTCAGATGGGGGTGTTAACCTTCCAGTTAGGGAACAAAGAAAGGCACCCCTAGAAATTCAGTGTCTCCCGTTTCAGGGTGCGAAGGGACTAGCGATGGATGGCACCAGCCATCAGGCTGGGAGCCTAGGCTGAGTAAAGAGCCATGGTTCAGCTGATGGAGGCACTTTGACCACACCTCATGACTTGAGTTTGGTCCCTGGAACCCACATTGTGGAAGGGGATAACCAACTCCTACAAGATTCCCTCTAACCACACATGCACTGTAGCGGGCATGCTCATGTGTGTACACAGAAGTAAATGGAATTTTAAAATCTTTTAAGAAGTTTTTCAAGTAATAAGGAGGCCTTCTAGCGTGGGTTTGTTCTCTCTTCTTCTCCCTGATTGCCATGAAACAAGCTGCTTTCCCCCACCACGTCCTCCCTCCATGATGCTTTCTTTTGTCTTACACTGGGCCTCAAACCACGAACCAACACTGTTCCTGCCTTCAGTTGGTCACAGTGAGAAAAGACTGCTTAATTCAGAAATCTGCTATTGAGAAGTGAGGGCAATGTGGAACCATTTGACCATGTAGTTTTAAGCTTAAAAAAAAAAACTGGTTTGAATATTAAATGTGGAGGTGAAGCAGTCCAGAAGGTTTAAAATGTTAAAACAGGGTTCTAGGGCTGCAGTGTTAGCATATTGCTGCAATTTTAAAATGTTCCCCAGAACAGATTTTAAGTGGTTTCCAAAAGCCCATATGTTAAATACGTGGTTGCCAGCCTGTGGTGTTGGAAAGTTGAGAGGTGTAAGAACCTTTAAAAGGTGGGACCTCGTTGAAGGAAGTTAGGTCACTGGGTGTGTACCCTTGAAGGATGTTTTGAAACCCCGACCCTTCCTCTCTCTTTGCTTGCTAGTTGCTATGAGGCCAGAAGCTTTGCTCTATGATATGCTTCCTAACATGATGTCCTACCTTGCCACAAGCCCCAAGTCAGTGGGGCCCACTAATATAGACTGAGCCCTCAGAAACAATAAGCCCCAAATCAGTGGGGCCCACTAATATAGACTGAGCCCTCAGAAACCATAAACCAAAATAAAAATTTCCTGCCTTCCGTTGATATCCTCAGGTGTTTTGTCTCATCAGTGGAAAGCTGACCGTCAGATGTCTCTC